TACTTGGATAATGGGCTGAACTTCAGTTATTAACCAAACAAATCTGATAATGTTGTTAATTTTAAAACGAAATAAATAAGATGTATTTAAAGTTAAATTGGATAATACGTCATATTCTAAACATGCTACTTCGAAGTACTAGAAGTCAGTAGAAGATGATTGTTATTGGGTCATTATTAGTTACCGAATATTTGAAGGTATAATTTATTATTTACAGGATTCTACAAAAATGCAATCATTTTACTCCAACTTTATTAAGCTTTAACGCAGTAAAACTTTCAATTATTGAAGACTTTTAGAAAAGTTTCAGCTAGTCACCGACATAAAACGTTATACTTTTACTCAATTTCAAATAAATGTATTAATTTATTGCTCTTTGGAAAAACATATTTTTCACTAATGCATAGTCACTAATTGGATATTTAAAAATTGATATTTAATCAGAAAAATATTTTTGTTATGCCATTAAGTACATTACTGAAGATGTACATAATTATAGTATTAATCAGTCTCTTATTACCACTGTATTATGTACCTACTATATGTATGTTATAGCTAAATATTAGATAGTTTAAAATATTAAAAAATATTATTCAAGGACAGGAAATGTTTTTATCTTTTGGCACATAATAATATATAATATAACACAATATTATACAATACGATAAATGTTCTTTGATATTTATTAGGTTACATTATATACAATTATAAGTAAATATTATATACCTACACTTTTTAAATAAAAGTTAATTTCAACGCACGTTACTGTATATATTATTATCATTATTGTTCAATGACTATAAAACGATCTTATTGATTAAAATTTCCTAATTAATATTTATGATATAAACACGCAGTTGAACTATTGGAGGTAAACATTCATCTCGGCCACATGTGCGCAACAAATGTATCGTATCGTTTCAATGAACTTTAGTCGGTATAGTGTATACATAAATACGTAATACAATATAAATGGTAAATTAAATACGATATATCCTGCATTAATCCTGCCATACATACTCACACAAATATGCAAAAAATAATACATGTATATAGCTTACACACACGGCACACATGCGAAATTGATAACAACAAAAAAATAATAGCTTTGGCAGTTCAAAAAAAAAAAATTTTAAATTTCGAGTTCAGCGAAAAATGACAGTTTATTAAAATAATACCATATTATATTTATAACTTTCTTGGTACTTGAGTGTCACCCATTCATTATATAATAATTAATAAATTATCAAACAAAAATTATATACATCGGCAGTTTCGTTTAACTCCGAACGTTAAAATACATAGTAGTAAGTAGATACGTTGGTAAGTAAAATAATTATTGCTGATTCAAGAAAAATTTGAATACAAGCGCGCGTGATATCATAGTATTGTTGTAACCGCAACGGTTGTTGTTATTAATATTGCATTATTCATTCGCTATTATATTATATGTATATTCATTTTTGTTTTGCGAAAAAATAGAACGACAATGTATTTTTAATTAAATAGAACGATAATATGATTTTATGGCCGTTTTAACGTCGAAACGTAGCGCCGATAAATTAGACGGCTTTTTTTTCTATTACATTGTATAATGACCATTGTAAAATTTTACGATGCCGATCGAAAGGTTCCCGTCGACAACGTCGGCGTATAGTTTTTAACGGTTTGCGTCCCGCAGCTGTTGCCGGTCACCACCACCGTGTACAATACTATACGTCCGCCGCCACTGCTTGCAATAAAATATACGACCTTTTTTACTCTCCCTCTCTCACTCTCAATCCTTACCCTCTCCTCACTCTTCTTTTCTCATGAAACTACCCTCCTCCCTCAGAGTCACAGCATTAAAAACTTAGCATGCATTTTTTTTTTCGTCCCCCCGAAATTTGTTATATTTTTATCGAAAAATACACAACGCACGTGGTATACCTAATGATAATAATAATAATAATAATAATAGCATTTTCTGATATATTTTGCAGGTACGAAACAATTACGAAATAACACGTCATCATTTATTATATCATTAAGAGACGTGCACGGTCCATCACCACCACCATACACCAACAACAACCACCGACCAACGACTACCGCCACCGCCGCACTTTGATTTACCGTACCCAAAAAGAACTTATACAATACATCGGCGGAACTTCGGCGGCCTACTACACGCACGTGACGAGGGCGGCCGGATGCGCGCTGCACATTGGAAAAACCATATAGGTACCGGCACTCACGTTTCTCCCTTTGGACAAGTTAGTTCCCATGCCATGAGTGTTGCGTGCGATGATTTCAGCAGTTTCACATCGCCAACGCGTTACCCGTGCGGTGGGTATTCACTTTTCGAACTCAACGAAAATATTACGAAATAATACTACGCCGGCCCGGGGAATGAAGACCGATAACGATGGTAGGAACGAACTGTTCGAGTGATGTTACCGTGAAAGGTGTACAAAAATTAAAATTCGAACACGTAAAAAATTGTGAGAAATCGTAAAGACTTTTCGTATCCCAATTGTGAGGGGAGAACACGCGCGAACAAGTACGCGTTCGGTTACCTACTGAAGCCGCTCAGCCGCTCAGCCGCTGGTCGTCGCCACTCGCCGCCGCCGAACCGTGTTTTATTCCTCCGCTGGCGGGGCAGGCGTACCAAACTGCCGGGCCAGAGCGACACATTCTCCTTTTTACTACAACAATTATTACTATTATTTATTTTAAAACAGCGCCCAAATTACTATTCCTAAATGTGTATAGTATATATACTAAATACATTAATAAATTGAAATAAACACGAACGCAACGCGAATGGAAAGTAAGTGTGTTTTATAAATAGAATTTCTTTGACGGCACCTATTGTTCGACGAGATTTTGTTTCAGAAAAAAGGGATACTTAATAATCGAATGAGAAAATAAATAACCTAACATCATCATGTACTGCTAAACCTTCCCCCAAAAGTTTGATTTTTCTTGTTACTCGGTAATATGCTTAGTGCTCACGTAATGTTTAGTACATATTATATCATTGATTATATTATATTATTTATATTATAATCGGTGATTTCATAATTAAGGTAAAAATTGTAAAACATTTAAATTCGTATAGGTAATTAGTGTTGGAAATAAATAATTATTACAAGTATACTCGTATTGTAAATCTATAATTATTGATTTTTTTATTCAACTGTATTTTGTAAACTTCTCTTAATAAATTATGAATAATACTATATATAAAATACATTATACATAATCGATAAACCTATATAGGCACAATATGCAATATAAATGATATCAACCTGATATCATTTATAATCGTATGATTGAAAAATTAGTTCACAATTCAAGAGGTCAATATTTATAGTCCGATAACTCAATATTCGTTAATTAACTGTCTGTACATATTTATTTGTTATAATTTATAGCAAAATAAAAATGCATACATTTATCCATAAAACAGGTAATGTGTGGTTTAATATAGATTGTACGTATACCTATACGTAACTCGTTTGTATACGCATAATATAAACATATTATAAAGATAAATGGATATGACTGAGCTCATAAGACATGAAAAGATAGGTACCTACTCAATTTCATGTAATTATATCACGGGGTATTTATTAAAATTTTAAAAGCATCTGTATTTCTTTCACAAAAAGCATATTTTTTGATATTGTTATTTCTATTAGTTATTAATTATTAGCAATGAATTATCAAATATATTATTAATTATTAAAAAAAATAAAAATAGAATCTTTGAAAATAGAATAAATTTCTACATTGTTGTGTAGAAACTACAAAACTCACAACAAAACTTAACTACAGATAAAAAAAGGCCTATAAAACACTCTTATATTATAGGTACTTACTACAAAATTGTTATATCATATTATAATATACGCATTCTGTTGCAGAGCGGATAAAATTTTATAACTTTTGAAATGTTCCCCAGATATAAGTATTTAATGCGCGTCTGCCGACTTTTTATACCTATATAACGCTGTGTCCTACGTAAATACGGCAAATCCGATAATCGCAATACGATGCGACCGATCCGATACGATTTCGTCATCCGATATTGCGGCGATCAGACACGTGGCAAACGTGAGATCGCATAGTCGTGCGACGGTTTTGTAGGTAGAAGGAACATTGTACATGCTAATATTCGTTTAAAAACATTAATCATGCCTTTAACCACACTACAAAAGAAAATGCTTCTGACTGAAAATTCGGTACTTAAGTATTTATTATATAAAAGGTAAGTTATAAATTTAATTAAATAATGGTAAATTATTAATAATTATAAGTGAATTTATTAATATATGTAGGTACAAAAAAATTAAAAAATCGTATCTTACCAGAGCTATCATTTTAAAAGACCGAATGATTTTTGGTGAGTTTTACCATTTATATAACCAAGTACGTTGTGATGACGCCTTATTTCGATCGTATACAAGGATGTCAGTTGCAACATTTGACTATATAGTTGAAATAATACGACCAGAATTTGATCTAAAGTCAACAAATTTTCAAGATCCCATACCAGTTGAAGAAAGATTGGTTGTAACAATTAGGTAAGCATTTTTAATCAATGAAATTATTAATTTATTATATTGGTAGTAATTTATACAAACACACATAAACACAAATATATATTTATGTACCTAATAAACAAACATCTTTCAACAAAATAAAAAACCTATCTTTTAAATAACTAATTAAAAACATTATTTTTTAATGTAAGTAAGTTTTTAAATCTTTAAAATGTATTATGTTTCTACTTGTATTACAATATTGTTAAATACATTTTTTTTTTAAAGCAGACACCCTTAACTTACTGCAAAATAAGTAGTAAAAAAAATGAATAAATATTTTTCAACAACAAAATAAAAAACCTTTCTTTTAAATAACTAATTTAAAACAATATTTTAAATGTAAGTACATTTTTAAATCTTTAAAGTGTATTTTGCACTTACTTGTATACATTAAGTTGTTTAATAAACTTAGGGCAAGTAAGATAATGCGACATTTAATGATGATTCTTGATTTTGCGACAACTCATTTATTAAAATATTTTGGAATTGATTTCTCACTCGAAGCTTTTGAATGGAATCCATTTTTTTGAAATATGGTAAAAGAGATTGGAAAAAAAGCATATCTTCATCAATTTCTGGAGCAGTTACATTGGTAGACTGTTGCAACAATGCGACTTTTTGACTTTCAATTTTTAATAAATTTTCCAAATACTTATCATCGTCTACTTTTGGTTTCTTTTTTTTTCGAGATAGTAAACGCTCTGAATCACTAGACTGGTTTGTTACTGGTGTTGATGGTGTACTTGTTTCATGTGTGTGTATAAATTGAGTACTTTGACTAATCTCTGTTTCAATTTCTGGTGTTGATACATAATTATTTACAATATCTATCGTATAAGGATTTGATACTCCCGTATCTGTAATATAAGAGTCATCATTATTTATCTGATCAATAATATGATTATCTTCATAATTTTTTGCGTTTTCTGTATCTTCCTCATCCGTAATATTTCCATCAGAAACCCTTGGAGTTGTGGTATCTTTTAAAAAAAGCAACAAATTATAATAAGACCATTTCCCAGTATATATTTCAGCTCCTTCTTGTGGATCTCCAGAGCGGCATTTCTTAACTTTTTTTTTCTCTCTTAAGAAAGTATCTCGTAAATTTCTCCACTTTTTTTTTGCCTCTTCCTCTATAAAAATAAATTAACTAAAATATAACAATAGCTCTAACTTCAAATGTTATATATGTATAACGAAAAATTGCTCAAAGAACAATTAATTGGGAACCTAATTTACTACATGTTCGTGTATTTTTAACGAAATAAAATATTTTCGATTTTGTGTGAAGAAAATCAAAAACAAATTTCAAATATCAAACTGTCTATTTTTTTTATTAAAATTGTTTATTATTTGTAGGTACTTGGCGACTGGACTAGCATTTAGACAACTAGCAATGGCATTTAGAATATCTAAGACTGCAGTGTCTAATATAGTGATCGAGGTGTGTATAGCTTTATGGAATTCATTAAAAAACAAGCATATGTCTACTCCTACAGTAGATGATTTTAAAAATATTTCAAACGAATTTTATAAGAAATGGAATTTTCCAAATTGTGTTGGAAGTTTAGACGGAAAACATATCCGTATGAAATGTCCGAAAAACTCCGGGAGCATGTTTTTCAACTATAAACAATACTACTCTATTGTTTTAATGGCAGTAGCTGATGCCAACTATAGATTTGTTATGATAGATGTTGGTTCGTACGGTAAAGATAGCGACGGCAGCGTTCTGTGTAATACACAGTTTTATCAACGTCTGGAAAATGGTACATTAAAACTGCCAAAACTGAGTAACTTGCCTAATTCAAATCTCAAAGCACCGTATGTATTTGTTGGTGACGAAGCTTTCCCGTTACGCAATTATATAATGAGACCCTTCCCTAGACAACAATTAGCATCAGCTAATGATAAAAAACATTATAACTATCGTCTTTCTAGGGCAAGAATGACTATTGAGTGCGCTTTTGGCATTGCATCTTCTAAATTTAGAATACTTCAAAAATCAATTGAAACTAAAGTTGAGAATGCAGATCATATTGTGAAAGCTATATGTATATTACACAATGTAATAATTGATAGAGAGAACGAATCTTCGCGTCAATGTACCATCATATCGGAAAATTTTAACATTGCAAATGTACAAGAAAGTAATAAAATAATGAGACTCCGTGCCAACAGATCTAACAATCGTGCTTCCCGTACTGCTATTGATATTAGAAATATATTTGTAGAGTTTTTTAAAACTAATAATATTACTGAAACAAGTATGTAAGTAAAATATATGTACCTAATTAATATTGTAGTAATTTTAAGTAAGTTTTTACTATATACCTACCTACGTATATTATAATAATGTATACTTAAATAGGTAGGTAACTAAAATCAGTTTCATTTCTTTAAGTTTCTAACGTAAAATTTTGAAACTGGTATTCAGTACTATTGTTTAGTTTAATCTCATTTTAATTATTTGGTATAAAATTAAAAATACAGTGTAAAAAAAAATGGATACTAATTATTAAACCTATTATTATTATATTATAAACTACTTACTATCCATTTTTGTATTTTTTGCAACTTCGTCCCATTCTCTGTCGGAAATTAATCTATCCCTATACTTTTTGTTCCACTTATTCCACAACACATTTCTCTTTTGTATTTCCGATATTAATAATTCCATAATTAAATAAAATAATATAGGTAAGTAAAATAAGGTAATAAAAAAATAATGTAATAATACAATATTACATTATAATATTAGTAATAACTAATAAGTAACACACAGCGTGAAAATCGCATACGAATATGCGATCAAAAACAAACTATTTTGTTTTTCAACGCACACGACTAAACGCATCCGATAAAACCGGTCGTATCGGTCGTGTCGCATTGGTCACGTCGGACACTCCCGTTCGTTTCCGGTGATTTGTTTATTTTTAGAAATCGTATCGGTCGCATCGTATTGCGATTATCGCATTATCGTATTTACGTAGGACACGGCGTAAGAGATCACTGTAAATTGCGGGGGAAAAAACCATCACTTCACATTTAACGTCGGTTCCCGTCTTAATACCTAAACCTATAATATATCCGGCGGCAGTGCAGTAATCGAAGTTATTTCTATATTGGCGTTTTGTTTTTAATAACGCCTCCAGAAAACCGATTGGGGAACCACACGTTTGGCCAAATCGAATAATATCAATCGGCGAATTTATCCGGTCGTAAAAATCGCGCGGTGCTATTACAACTAGAGTAGTATTATATTAACTATTAAGTCTCTCTTGCCGTTTAAAGAGGCCACTACCGCCACTAAACGTTCATAGGTCGAACCCAATAATGACAAGGTGTTTTAGGTAATAACAATTTCCAACTGCCATCAGCCAACGATGATGATAGTACTAGTCATACGGGATTATATTATTATTATTATTATCATAATGGTATATGGTATATTCCGTGAGTGGAATCGGAAAACGAAAAACATATTTTCCAGTTGCTTAATCGAATTACCTCCTATGCCGGCGGTGGGCGTGTTATTATAATAATGATAATAATAATATTATGTCGACGGCGGCAACCGAGGTTGTTGATTTTTATGAACAGTGTGGTTGTACCTATAACATTGTACAATTTTGGAAACGAATTTCTCAACGTGAGCACATAAAAGGACGTGAAAATTCAATTGTCTGGAACGGTATGAACGCGTCTCTGTATACAAATGCAAATATTTTGAATCGTAAAATGTGGAATATTACTGTGAACCAGCTATATTATATACTATTATTATATAAATGTGGGACACACTTTGGCAAAACGATATAAAAATATCGTCGTGCACCGGGTGGAGAAACATTTTCACCGAATACTAAGATCATGACGAGAATTTTTGGTTAAAACAAAACAAAAAATATGCAATTTATTTCGAAAATGTTTGTAGCGGTTATTTATTTCGCGAGCAAAAAAAAATTACAAATTCTCGTGAAATCATAATATTATATTGACTTAATGGTTATATTATGCGTAAAAACATTAAAAAAATAATTATCGTAAATATTAGGTATATTATAGAATATGGAAATGGGATATGAGTTCTGTGAATTTATTAAGCTGAATTTGCCCACAAGTCAAAACAACTATAAGTAAATTCTCTGCTTAAAATATTGCACTACAGGCATTATTATATTGTGGATACTCACTATTAAGTTCATGATGACATCATTGTAAGCGTTCAGTAAATAAGAAATTTCCATTTGAAATAATTTGACTCGTAAAAAAGTTTTTTTTAACGACGGTAAAACAAAAATAAACCGTATTAAGTACCTACCTATAATATTACCGTAATATTATGATATGTTGTAAAGAGCTATATATAGGTTAGGTGTTAAGGTAAACTGTTTACTTTTTTTCAGAACATATATATTTAATATGTATTGATGAAGGTCTTAAAAAATATTTTACACCAGAACGCGTCGATCGTTGACAAGTTGATGCATCCCTCGTGGTGCGAACATATATATATTTAGTTTCGTTGATAGTGACACGGCCTCGGCTCGCGGGTGGCCTGCTGCACCTAAATACATATTATTTTGAACACGTACATATTATATGGGTGGGATTTTTAAACTGCATGCAGAACACCGAAGGGTAGAATAGTCAAAACAGCTGCGAAAACAAAACATTTGTATATATTATATATTATATTATATTATATACACACAGACGCACGCTCCACCCTTTTTGAAATCGTCCGTACGACAAATTTCCCGTCAACACATTTAGCTTTTATTGGATTAAAGATTAAACTACCAGCTATTTTGCCTATATTCGCCGTATTATTGTTTTTGTTATTTAGGATTTATATTTATGAATTCAAAATCGAATTTCCTGATTCGTTTTTGTAGTTTTAAAACGTTTGAGGGTCCGTTGCGGGGGCGCGCGTGGGTGCCACAGCAGCACAACGTGCAGACCGAGGGCAACTATTTATCCCCAAAGTTTTAGGTACGCCGTATATTACGCATAATACAAATAATACGTTTTTTTTCCATTTCAACGTATGTTTGATGTATTAAATATTTCTTTCGACCCCTCAGACAGAACAATTTTATAAACCAGCTATAATATTACCCTATGCCAAACGGACGAGACAACGGGTGTTCTACTTCTACACCGCATATTATATATAATAATATAATATATACCTATGCGGATATACTGGCTGAACCCTTTTTCGAAACGAGCAACACGCATTTCGTCATCAAAACGACAGTTGAATACCTCGAATTTTTCGTCGGCCCTTCTTCATTTCATGACGATTTGTGTAATAAAATATAATCATATTATTTTGTACGCGTGGCTTGGAAATGTTTCATTATAGAACGTAAAAAAAAGACTAATTCGTCGCTATTATTAAACCAAAACGAATCTTAATCTCTGGACAAATGCAATTGATGAAAATATAAAAACACGTGTGAAACATAATTTATAACCGACCACTGCAGTTATTAATATATTTAATGTAGTGTAACATTATATTATGTTCCCAAATCCAAATACAAATCAACGCACTTTGCTCAAGTTAATTAATATAAAATATATGTATAATATTATATATACCTATGTATATAATATTATATTATGTGTAATGTGTAAACGTAATTGAATATTTAAAAAAACTGTACTTGCGTGGTTTCTGCAGCGTAAACATTATAGTATTTTGTTTTAATAATAACTCGTAACTATCATAAAACGTTCTTTTAATTAACCGCTGTATTGTTTATTTTTACGAGCCCATAGAACTGAAACTGAAATTAAAATATGCCGTACTACAGCTAATACTGACGGAGAGAATCGTCAGCTATAAGTGCAGCTAACTATACAGTGGACAATAATATGGTTATTGTAATTGTGTAAAATGATTTCACGATGTTATCGAAGAGTATTTCTTACATAGTTACGTCAATATAATAATAAAATCGGGTATTTTTAATTTAAAAAAAAAAAAACGTTTCAAAAATATAAAATATGAAACAGTTGTTGCCACCATAACGGTGGCAAGGGCGCCGAAAAGATTTACAAAATATGTCTGCATTTATTGAATAATACTATATTAATAGTATAGTCACTTCGAAATAAAAACCACGTCATCTTATCCCTATAAATGATATAAGTACTGTTGGAACAATATTTCCTCCAACACAAACGTTTGTTACATAATATATAATAACACGCAATGCTGCAGCATCGTTTGAGTGAAAAATTAATTCAAATAGGGTATTATTTTTTTTCTCGTTCCGTTTACGCATAAAATATGCACTGCACTCGGCAGTTTCGACTTAATTCCATACAACTCGGATTGATAAACTTTTGAGAAAACCGTCGGCGGCGGGAAACGCGCTATGATGATGATGGTAATGATGACGGCGATGGAGGAAAAGCAACGGCAGCAGTAGACAACGACGACGGCCAAACAAATGGCAGACACGTCAGTTCGCATTACGCATTCAAACGTTGTAAACGAAAACGGCGCGAATAATGAAATATTCCGAGGTTGTTTTTTGTATCCCTATGTATACTACGCGTATAATATATACATTTAATATATCGTATACATACCATCATTGTTTCCACCACCCTATATAACCTCTCGTCCCTGCTCGCACCATCAAAGGCCAGTCAAAACCTATTAGGTCCTTCATTACTTTCTCTACATGTATACGGCGAAGCTTTTTCCCTGGCAAAGCAACAACTACGCTATGCGATGACGGCCGATAACATTATAACTAACTCGTCTGTATAGTTTTATATTATATAACATATATAATATCTCGTTCACTCACCGTGGCGATTTATAATATATAATATTTAACACAAACGAAAACCCGAAAATCCGAAGACAACCTTACAGCTGCATGTTGCAGCAGTTATTCCTTATTATAATACAACCTAAATCGGGAGTCCATTCGTTCACGTTTTTCCATAGAGAAAGCAATCTGAAACACGAGGTGTATATACTCGCACATATGACGTAAACCGAATATTCGTATCCCCCCGTGTTTCTTCAGAGATATCCATAAAGACCAGTAAGTGTGTATGTGTACATTTTGTATACAATATTATATACTCTCCAGCGTTTCTGAGCAATTCAAAAGGTCGTAAAAAAAAGTTTAAACGGGATAATTATATTTAATTGTATTATTTGAACTGCCATATATGCTAGTGGTATATAATATGATGTAAGTATAAAACAAATCATGAATCGGCGCCATCCCCCACCCGGGGCATGGCAGAAACCTACGGGTGACCCATTAGAAATTCTGCCAAAACACAACATACACGTGTACCAACCTACCCAACCTAAAACCCCACAGTTCCCTCCCCACACCCAATGGCCTATGTTGAAGCGGGTTATCCAAGGTAAAAAAAAAAATCAAAAAAATCGTGAGTCGTCTTGTACTTTGTACGAGAAAGAGAAAAAGTAATCGGCTATGACCTATGGATTATGAATAAATCTCGCCGAATGAACAGCGGTTGCGTATTTGAATGCGGAATAATTGATAAAACGAGTATAGTATACGACGGTATTGTGGTATAGAACTGCGGTTATGCTCCCCAGAGAAAAATATATTATAATCGTTTTTTGGTGATTAATTTATGCAGTAGTATAATATAGAACTGCTTTTT